ATCTTCAGGAACAGGAACAGGCACAGGAACAAGTGGACAGTGTCCAGGTGATACATAATAAGTATTCCACAACAGTTGTCATTTGTAATCATCAAAATTAAACGAAATAAACATTTGAAATATATGAGTTTGTATGTAATGTATGAATATAATATACAAGTTTCACTTTTTAAATGGAATTACTGAAATAAATCTACTTTTTCATGATATTCTAATTTTATGACCAGCACCTGTATGTTAGACAACTCATGAAAATTTTGTAGACTTCTACATTGAATATGGATTCAAAAAAGTCCACTGGAAGTGTCTTTTAGGTATGTACACACTCTAATGCTAGCAAATTGACAAAATGTATAACTTCTAGTAGTACTTTAGGATAAACACAGAATAATTTACATTCTAAATTTGATGTAAAAGGTACCGCCTCCAGGGGCGTGACCATGGTGTGACCAGGGACACGTAGGACTTAAGTGAAGTTAGAAGAAATTTAAACACTTAAATGTGTGACAATTTACACGTTAAATTGAGTTTTGGCTTTTGAATAGTGTTTACAAAGATCTATTTTGTGCACAAGTGTTAAATTTAATATTTTTGTTTCTTACATGAGAGACTCCATCAGATTCAGCATCACTCAGGTAGCTTCTCACCTGCAGATGAGGCTGTCGCAGAAGACGACACAGCTCTTTGGCCTCTTCGGAGCAGCAGGGCAACGATTTGAGGTCTATCAGCAACTACACACAAACTCACGTTCAGTTTGCAACAAATACAATAAAAACAGATTAAATGACTATAAAACTAACCTGAAGCGAGAGTCCTGAGGCGTAATCCAGCATTGGGGCTGGAGAGTCTCTCAGGTACCTTTGCAGGCACTCGTACACCTAAAAAAAATCAAATAATTTGAAAATTCAGAAAGAAAGAAAAAGTATCATGAAGCAGATTTATCTTAACACACTCCAATGCTGTTTAATATGGAGTGCCAAGTGTAAAATAAAAAAAAAAGTTTCATTACTTAGCCAACTTCTGAGTGTAAAATCCTGGATCCTATTTAAAATTGGATCTTTAATGTGTCAACAACACCAGCTCAATTCATAAGTTCAGGAGCCTTTCAGGACAGAAAATGAGAGGAGGAAAAACTGCTAAAGACATTCAGAATAGACACTTTAGGTTTTCATACCTTGAGCAGTGACTGCAGCCAGGAGGAGGTCAGCAGACTGTGGAGAATCTCTGCTCCGTCGATGTCCTGGCTGACTGAGCGCCTCACCTCTTCAATCACGTCAGACAGAACCTGATGAAGACCTGCAGAGCAGGAACCCTCCAGTCAGACTGGAACCAGGCAGCTTGTCACCCTCTACACAAGAGCTTTACTCACCTTGTTCTCCAAGCTCAAAGTGGGGGTTTAACACCTCAGCCTCCATCGCCTGCCTCATGGACCCCCCCTCCAACCCCAACCACTTGTTAACCACTCACCAGGAGGGTTCAGCAAACCTGGAGATTAACAGATCAGAGGGCTGGAGGAAAGCTTGTTTTATCATTTTACATACTAAATATTCTAACAAGACTAATGATTTATTAGAATACAGTTTAGAATTTATACTAATGCTTTAAAAATTAAAATAGGAATTTTCAGAATGAGTCTTTTTTGTTTAAAAAATATATGTTGTACAGTATGAAATCAAATATAAAAAAGGTGATTCTGAACTATATCAAAGAGTGCAGAAGATACATTGACATTCTGAAATGTGGGTACACACTCAATGTAAACAAAGCACTCTGTTGAGTCAGCTTAAAATCCCATGGAAGCCTGAAACACACGATTGCCCTACTTGAGGCTGGTAGTAGTTTGTGGATGAAATCAGACAAGCATAGAACCTCAGAGAAGATGTTTAGGTGGAAATATAAGAATGAATCTGCTGCTGAATTCAAAGAAAAGGAGAAAGACTGAGAGAGAAAACTGTGGAGGAAAGAGTTTAGAATATTAAGCAGGGTGTGGGAGTGCCATTAAAAACATTTGATGTACTTTATTCAACAAATCTGAGTGTAAATACACTGTATTACCAAACATATTTGCTCGTCTCCCGTCACACACACACGCACTTGATTGATATCCCATTCTTAATCCATAGGATTTAGTATGATGTTTGCCCACCGTGAGCAGCTAGAACAGCTTCATCGTAGGCCTTCCACAAAGTTTAGAAGTGTTTTTATGGGAATTTTTTAACCTTCTACCAGAAGCATGTGTGAGGTCAGACACTGATGTTGGGCGAGAAGGTCTTGCTCACAGTCTGCGCTAGAATTCATCCCAAAGATGTTCTATTGGGTTAAAGGTTTCAGGATACTCCATCTGAAGCCGATGTTAATGTGGTTGTTCGACGTTCGTTTTCACACTCACACCTTTTACAATTTTGGGGCGGCTGTGGCAGGGTGGTTAGGGGAGTTGTCCTGGAACCGTTGCTGGTTCGATCCCTCTTTCCAGTTGTCCAAGCTGTTGTGTCCTTAGTATCAGTGCATGAATGTGACCTGATTAACCTTTATAAAATGATTCTGTACATTAGCTTTGTAGAGACCTAATAGAGTGCTGTGTGAATGGGTAAATGAGGAGACAGATTGTATTGTGAAGCGCTTTGAGTGTCCTGGTTGGATAGAAAGACACCATAAGTACAGTCCATTTACCATTTCATAGCTCCTGGGAAACCCTACTGCTGCATACATCACTGCATGGGGTTCCTTCCCACTACACTCAAGGGGGAAAAAAAATCTGATACCTGACGTTATTTGTCCACAAATCTGTCCTGGTTAAGGCTCCACGCTTTTCTGCAGACAGATTCCTTTGTGCAAAATGTCTCTTATCTCCGTCTATGAGTTTTTGGTCATTTGACTGTCTTTATAATGAGTACAACAGTCAGATTCTGGAGGAGAGTAAGTTTTTTTTTTTTTGAAAGGAAGTGGTTGAAGTAAAATATAGCATTCAGCATAAACGCACATGCCCACCAATCACAAAGTGACCCATTCCATGAAGTTTTATATGCACTGTTCGTCATATAATCTGAGGATCATCTTTACACACTTTTACCAACTGCAACGTCTTGATTTTAAAAACAAGAACTTTAAGGATGCAAAGAAAAGAGGTTGATCAACTTTACAGATAAAGCAACTTCTGTGATCCAGTCAAGTTCTAGTCTACACTGACTTTTTTGCATTGTAAGGTCCGGCCCCGCCCGGCCTGGCCCCATTTGGCCTGGTCTTATTCCACCCCGGCCCTGAATGTGTTTGCATTGAGCAGAGCGCCGTCTCGATGTTGATGGGGATCATCGTATTTGAAATGTGCAAATCTTATTTTGTTTTATTTGCAACACAACAATGAACCACACCAAACTCAAAGGACAAGTACCAAAAGGCTGTACTGGACCATCAGACAGTATGACACTTAAGGCGCGAGAGGACAGGTGACAGAAAACAGTATGCTAACGGTAGCTAATGTTAGCCGGTTGCTTGGTAGCTTGAATGTTGAACTCATAATAACTCGTTACAGTCACTGCAAATGAAGCAAGTTAATCTCTTCTGAGTTCTAAATAGAACCACTGTTCTCTGGGTTCTAGAAATCAGGGTGGATCAAACTGGGTCAAAAGGGCTAAAACAAACATGCAGATGCCAGGTTTGAACCAAGGCTGGGCCAGGAGAGAGTCTTGGAGTGCAGCAAGGATGGCTGCTGAAGTGGGTACAAAACAAGCCAAGGAGGGTAAAGTGTAGGCAAGAAAATGCAACTTTGCAAGTCTCTTATGCAATAACGTTGTTGTTTTTAAAGATTTGACACTAAATGTGTTGCAGGAGTTACCAGACACACTGTAAATACACAATAAGTCAGGGACATTACAAAACAAAGATTATCTTTTTTTCTCAAAAACATGAGTCACTACTCTCCTACAGGTTCTACTTTTGTCTGCTCTGGTTTTGGTGTTCAAAGCAGTGCTGTCCTCGGGGCCGCAAGATTGGTCACAGCTCGGTTATTTTTTCTCAATTGGGGAATGTAGGACTGAGGCAGAACACAGTCCCAGCTCCACCAGTATGAACCGGGTCACGGGTTAATGGCACATTTCACAGCAGCAGGGATATAAAAACAGGCCATAATCTCTTTGTGGTGAACAAAACCCCGGTCTTCATTTGTAATCTGGGACAAGTTTAGGAAAGAAGTGGCTCCATTAAACAAATTTGGGTGAATTTCATCACCTCCATGTGCCAGATGAAACGTAGCATCCCAGCCTTCCTGGAAAGTGCAGCTTTGTTAGAACGAGTTGGATGAAAGGAGCTCATCAAGAGGTAAACACCCACAGGATGATCCCTGAGGCCTTTCTCCAAATTAAATAAATTAATAAATAATATGAATGATCTTACTTCAGAACCTGAAGCAGCTGTTGCCTTCGCCCACCTCCTCCTTTAGGTTTGACCTCCTGTGAAGATTCAAGGAAATAAATATGTTGGGGAAAATATTCCCCGGAGACTGGACAGAGCGGGATCCTTTCATCCAGCACCAGGGGAACAAGAGAGAGAGAGAGAGAGGGCTTTAATCTCCCTCGATCCCACCTAATCCAGGGGAAAGAGAGCTGCCTGCCTCTGGCCACCGGAAACTGGTTCCTCCCTCACCGGCTGGCTGCTCAGTGACAAATCTCCTTAACTCTTTCAGTGATGAGGTAAGGAGGGGTGAAACAGGTGTTACCTCAGGAGATAAGGCTTATGAGGTGGGATGAGTAATTCAAGACAATCAGCTAATACATACAGGTAACAAAGGAATAATCACACAGGCCACAGCAGTTCAATTAAAACTGAAGAATTAGTTCAGACTACATTCATTTTTAGCTTTTTGTTAAATTCAGTGTAATTTAATCCCCCATAAAGGATAGCTTAGGTATTAACGATCAGTGTCTTACCTGCAGCAATCAGAGTGATCCAAGTTTGAACAAATGGGGAAAAAATCATTCTTGGGGTTGAGCTTAAAAAACAACTTCAAGAGAGTTTAGATCTTTTTATATGGGGTCCTGTGGAAATGTTGGCATTTATTATCTTTCTTGTTATAGATAGCTCTCAGATGAAATGAAGGTCCGTTCTGACTGGACTGATGTACTTGCTGCAGTCTAAAGAAAAACCTTTAATCTGGTAAATATCACAGTGGTTCAGGCAAACATTGATTTCAAAAACCATAATACAGCTACAAATATTTGATGTTTTTGTTCCTTTAAAGTACCCGTGACATACATATCCCTCAACAAGTCTAAGAACACATCTTTGTATTTAACAAATTCGGAATAATGCCCATTTTGTCACCTAACAGGCATTTTTTTACAGAACTTGGCTCAACCAGTGAAACAGGAAGTGACATCAAAGGAGAACTCTGTAAGAAAGGAAACTCTTTAATGTTTGTTTATATTATTTGAACTCTGACTCTTCTTCATCTCTCCAGTGTTGTATAAAGCAGTGTTTCCCAAAGTTGGGGTCGGGACCCAAAGTGGGGTCCCGAAACATCAAGGTGGTGTCCTGAAAAGATTTTCCGAATTAATTACACTTTTGCCTTAGTTTGTACAAAGGAGTGAGGTTACTATATTTAAAATGGATAAATGTAGTATAAAAAATATTGTTACTATGCCCATGTTTTGTTGACCTGATACAAATGTTTATCATGCAAAAATAGTTGGGGGCACAGGTCTCTGCTACTGTTTTGTACTATTTTGTGGGTCAAAAGCTGAAAAGCTTGGGAACCACTGCACTTTGGTTCCCAAAGCTGGGCTTGGGACCCAATTATGGGTCATGAAGCACCTTGGATAATCTCCAGAAATCAATTTAAAGGGTAATAAAATAATTGCTGATGTAATATTTTCCCTATAATTATTACAAAAACACAAAATAAGTATTTATATTTGTGTACAAGCTGATTAGATTGTCAAAAAACCTGTGTTTTTAGGGTTATTAACGAAGTTTGTGTACTCAGACCAGTAATATTTGGGGTCACAAGTTTTTGCCATGGATATTTTGTGGGTCAGAAGACAAAAAGTTTGGGAACCACTGGTATAAAGTACCTCAAAGTGATACTTGAGTAAAAGTACAAGTCTCTTCTTCTTTGTCTTTTGGCTGTTCCCTTTAGAGCTGGCCACAGCAGATCATCTGCCTCCATCTCATCCTATCCCCTGCCTCCTCTACTGTTACACCAACCAACTCCATGTCTTCCTTCACTACATGAATCTTCTCTGCGGTCTTCCTCTTCTTCTTCTGCCTGGCAGCTCCATCTCCCACATCTTTTCTCCAATATATCCACTATCCCTCCTCAACACGTCCAAACCATCTCAACCTGGCTTATCTATCTCTAAACTGCTCCACCTTCACTGTCCCTCTGATCTTCTCATTTCTAATCTTGTCTATCCCCGTCACTCGCAACGAAAATCTCAGCATCTTCATCTCTGCCACCTCCAGCTCAGCCTCCTGTCTTTTAGACAGTGCCACTGTCTCTAAACCATACATCATAGCAGGCCTCACTGCAGTCTTGTAAACCTTCCCTTTCACTCTTGGTGCTATCCTTCTGTCACATAACAGCCCCAACACTCGTCTCCACCCACTCCATCCTGCCTGCACCCTCTTCTTCACCTCTTTTCTGCACTGTCCATCGTTCTGGATGGTTGACCCCAGATATTTGAAGTTTTCCACCTTTCTAACCTCTACTCCTTTGCATTTTCACCTTTCCACCTGCCTCCCTCTCATGCACACACATGTATACTGTCTTGTCTCTACTGACTTTCATTCCTCTTCTCTCCAATGCAAACCTCCACCTTTCCAGGTTCTCTTCCACCTGCTCTCTACTCTCACCACAGATTACAGTGTCATCTGCAAACATCATGGTCTATGCAGCCTCCTGCTTGACCTCATCTGTCAACCTGTCCATCACCATTGCAAACAAAAAGGGGTTCAGACCTGATCCCTGATGTAACCCTACCTTCACCTTGAAACCATCTGTCAGTCTGACTGCACACCTCACCACTGTCTCACTGTCTTCATACATGTCCTGCACCACCATCACATACTTTTCAGTCACTCCTGACTTCCTCATTCAGTACCACAGTTCCTCTCTTGGCACCCTATCATATGCTTTCTCTAGATCCACAAAGACACAGTGCAGCTGCTTCTGGTCTTCTCTGTACTTCTCTACCAACACTCTCAAAGTAAATACATCTGTTGTACTCTTTCTGAGCATGAAACCAAACTGCTGCTCACTGATCTGGACATCTCGCCTTAGCCTCGCTTCAACAACTCTTTCCCATTCCTTCATGGTGTGGCTGATCAACTTATACCTCTGTAGTTACTGCAGCTCTACACATCACCCTTGTTCTAAAAATGGGCACCATGCACTGCTTCTCCACTCATTTGGCATCCTCTCACTCTCCAGAATTAAACAACCTGGTCAAAAAGTCCACTGCCTTCTCTCCTAGACATCTCCATACCTCCACAGGTATGTCATCTGGACCAACTGCCTTTCCGTTCTTCATCCTCTTTAAGGCTGCCCTCACTTCCTCCTTACTAATTCTCTGCACTTCCTGATTCACTATCTGTCCCCCCTCTCTCCTCCTCTGTCTCTCTCATTTTCCTCATTCATCAGTTCTTCAAAATACTCCTTCCATCTACTCAACACTCTCTGTTCACTCACTAGTATGTTTCCCTCTCTATCCTTTATCATCCTAACCTGCTGTACATCCTTTCCAGCTCTATCTCTCTGTTTAGCTAAACAGTACAAGTCCTTTACTCTTAATTTACTGTCCAGCCTCTCATACAACTCATTATAGGACTGAGCCTTTGCCACCGTTCTTTTCTTTATGCAACTAGCTTCACAATACTCCTGCATACTTCCTTCATCTCTCTGATTATCCCACCTTTTCTTAGCCGCCTTCTTCTTCTGAATGCTCTCCTGGACGTCCTCATTCTACCACCAACTTTCCTTGTCTTCTTTCCTCTGACCAGAAGAGACACCCAACACCTTCTTGCCCGTTTCTCTCACCAACTTAGCTGTACTTTCCCAGTCCTCAGGTAGCTCCTCACTGCCCCCAAGAGCCTGGTGCAATTCTTCCCTGAACTGCCTGCAACAATCCCCCTCCTTCAGCTTCCACCATTTAATCTTTGGCTTCGTCTTCATTCTCTTCCTCTTCTTTGTTTCTAATCTCATTTTACAAACTACCACCCTACGCTGTCTTGCTACACTCTCCCCTGGCACCACTTTACATCTCTAATCTCTTTCAGGTGGCATCTCCTGCTAAGGATATAATCCACCTGTGTGCACCTTCCTCCACTCTTGTATATCACCGTGTTCCTCACTCTTCTGAAAATATGTGTTCACCACAGCCATTTCCATTCTCTTTGCAAAATCTACAACCATCTGTCCTTCTGCGTTCCTTTCTTTCACACCATACCTTTCCAGCACCTCTTCATCTCCTCTGTTCCCTTCACCAACATGACCACTGAAGTCTGCTCCAATCACCAATCTCTCTTCTCTGGGGACCCCTTCAACCACTTCATCCAGCTTCATAGGCATAGCCAGGATTTTGTGTGGGGGGGTTCTTTTTTTTTAGAAAAATTGGACCTTTTTCAGGTGTATGGAGGTTGCTTAGATTAACACACCGGTTCTGTTGTAAGCGCAACTTCAAACTTATGTAAACAAGCTAATTATCTAGCATTAAGCTTACCTTCTTATGTTGTCTTGCAGATCTGCCTAATTGCTGCATAGCATCATACACCTATCTTTTTGCTCTATTTCCTTTAGCAGCTCTATTTTAACTTGTTTTTGATGGGGAAAACCATAAGCTATTGTAAGAGCTAGTGATGAAYAAATGGAGCTTTTATGAAGCACTGAATCAGTTGGGCCAAATGTTTCAAAAATAGGTTCATTTCATTTGCTGAAACTTCAATTACACAGACCTCTTGCGGCAATTTTCAACACTGCTGTCAAATTAGGCTTTATGCTTTTGGTTGTACACACCTAACAACTTTAATCACTAGTGTTAAAAAACTACTTCACTGTGGTTAAAAAAAGCTTTTTTTATTCAGCAACTTGCTATGATAACTGATTTGAAAATGTATTTATGCTAGTTACACCTCCTSTTTTCTAATAAAGATTGAAACATTCAGGGTTTGAAGCATGTTTTGAAGCTTTTGTTTCATACTAMCATCACAAGTATGAGCTCCTTTCTTCCTTGGTGGATGTCACAAAAAATGACATCATGTGAGCCTTGAGGGTCATTGGAAAGACAACCCTACCCACATGGAAAAAACAACATGGCTGTTCAGAGCCAGGAAAGACCTTGGATGTGCAACCCTGTTATAGTTTAGTATCAAAATGTTAATACATCAAACAACACAGAAATTAGTCTGACATCCTAAAACATTTACCCACTATAATACATATTACATACCTTTTACATCTACAGCTACACATTTTTAAAAAATTGTTGACACTACTTTATAGATTAACATAATACCATCTTAAACAGATGTAGTTTTGCAAAACTTTTATTTACAATGCAAAGTCCCTCATCTCAATCTGGATAAAAAAGACAGTCCAACTCCATCCTTCTTGCATGTTTCTTTGCAAACACATCAACAACGCTGTCAAGGTCAACGTGCTTTCTGTAATGAATATGAAGCAGTGCCAGTGAAGAGAGACGATCCTTACCCATCGATGCCCACATGTAGTTGTTGAGGCGACGAAGAGCACTGGCACTGCGCTCACACTCACAGGATGTGACAGGGAGTGTACAGGCCAGCCGGAGCAGGACGTGCAGGTTGGGGTACATGTCTCGGTCACACTCTTTCAGGGAACTTGCTGGGGTGTTTGGCCTCTGTGATTCAGGCTCTCTGTCATACCTAACAGAACAGTTATTAAAACAGAATTTTTTGTATAGCAATAGTATTGTAACATTCAATTTCTAAACCAGCTTCTTGGATGCTTAACTTCAAAACAACTTTCTTCAACTTCCACCTTGTAACCTCCTGGTCAACAAGTTCTGGAGAGGGTAGGTCTTCTGCATACATGCTGACAATCTCTGTGGTGTCCAGATGGCGAGTGCAGATAATAGCTGGCACTAGTCCCARCAAGGAGCTAGCTGTGGCTGACAGAGCTGAGGATAAAAAAAACAACTTTGCAAAAAAGATAATATTTAAATGTCAGAAAATGTTTATATCATTTCTATTTAACTTGTATGTATACAAAGTAGTTAGAAGTTTTGTAAAATCTTTGTAAAAGCTTCAGTATCTATGG